ATTGTTTAGGTTTTATTTATATACAGGCCTATGGTGAATTATTACATAAGATGTACATAGGCCTATAATTATACTGTGTTATATAATATAACATTGTATGATTAAACATATAAAATTAAATTAGGCCTATGTAGAATAAAATAAATAATATAATAGTATTGTATTTATTTTTTTAGATAATGAATCTCCCGTGTTTACTAACTGCCCTGCAGACCAAGCATTACCAACGGATGCACTTCTACCTACGACCACTGTAACTTGGACCGAGCCTACCGCAACGGATAACTCGGGTTTAAACCCCGACATTCAACAGACGCATCACCCCAACGACGTGTTTAGACTGGGATCAGAATATGTTGTATACACGGCCTTGGATTTAAGCGGAAATAATAAACAGTGTACCTTTTCCATAACGGTTTTGGGTAAGAATTTAAAAGTACAGTAATGACAACTGGACTGTAAGTTAATTTTTATAGTTAGAGCGTTCCGTCCCACTGACTCTAGGGCTGAGGCACGATATATGTCTATATCAACTTTAGATGACCAGAAATAGCACTCTCAAACTTAAATTTGACCAAAAGTGTTTAAAACTAACATTTTATAAGTTAGGAAGGAGAGGCCACTTGAATCTGTCTCTGACAAATGCTCAATTAAAGTGGAATAATGGATTATATCAAACTGTTTTATTAAATGGGGAATTCTGTAAATAAGCCCTAAAATTTACCTTGTTTGATGTTGCAGATTCTGAAGCTCCTATATTCCATAATGGACCAAGTAACGTAGTCGTCAACACGCAGCCAGGTCTACCTTCAGCCCCGGTCACGTGGCCGCTGGCAGATATTGCACAAGACAACTCGCAAGTGTATCCTACCATCAATTGCACCTACATCTCAGGACATAACTTCAGATTTGGAAACTATTCTGTAGATTGTACTGCTACAGATGCTGCAGGGAATTACGCTGTTCACACATTTCATGTGGCAATAATAGGCGAGTTTTTGTTTGTTAAGATTTCCATGGCATACTAGTATAAAAGTATTCTCATACAGACATAACCCTCTTTCCTTTCTGCACACCAAAAACATAAGTCAACTGGCCAGTTTACCAGGTGATAATTCACTTTTCCCATATATGGTGTGTTCTTTTTTGTACACTGAGCGCTTCAATAGGCATTCTATGATTCTATCTAGGATTTTATCTTCACCTGTCTAAGCCTACCACAGTTAATTGAACAAAAATACAATTAATACGACAATTATTCGATATGGAAATGTTGACATTCTGTAACCCAGACCCCCAGCGACTCCACCACTGGTACCTTGCAACCTGGACATTTTGAGACCTGAAATGCCTTGGTTACAAAATGTCCAGATTGCGAAGCACCTGCAGTATAGTGTTATGAAACATCCTGGTTACAAAATGCCTGTCACCCATCTACATGATAAAATAAAAAAATTAGCAAAAGGTACTTAACAGAAATTTAAAAACTAAACTTAATATCAAAATCAAAAACTAATGAACAGGAATACACTACCACAAAGAATGAAAAAAAAATTGTGTTTACCTGGTAGCAATAAACACTGTCTCTTATACACATCTAGATGTGTATAAGAGACAGGGCAGATATTGCACAAGACAACTCACAAGAGTATCCTACCGTCAATTGCACCTACATCTCAGGACATACCTTCAGATTTGGAAACTATTCTGTAGATTGTACTGCTACAGATGCTGCAGGGAATTACGCTGTTCACACATTTCATGTGGCAATAATAGGCGAGTTTTTGTTTGTTAAGATTTCCATGGCATACTAGTATAAAAGTATTCTCATACAGACATAACCCTCTTTCCTTTCTGCACACCAAAAACGTAAGTCAACTGGCCAGTTTACCAGTTGATAATTCATTTTTCCCATATATATGGTGTGTTCTTTTTTGTACATCGAACGCTTCAATAGGCATTCTATGATTCTATCTAGGATTTTATCTTCACCATCGTCATCTTCATCATCACTATCATCATCACCATTATCATCATCATCATCATCATCATCATCATCATCATCATCATCATCATCATCATCATCATCATCATTACAACCACCACCACCACCATCATTATCATCAGTGTAAAAGGTTTTTTTTAATTTTTTATACCATACAACATTCAGCTAAATATTTCAACCTTTTTTTAAACTAGACGAAGAAATTCCCTCATTTCTCAGTCAACCTGAAGACATTCTAGTTGAAACGGATCCCTGGCAACCGTATGCACATATAGATTGGGCTCTCCCAAGCGTGTTCGATAACTCCATGGAAGAAGTGTTCATCAATTCTACTCATCATCCTAACACGACATTTCCTATCGGAGTAACCACAGTTACCTATTGGGCATTCGACTTATTCAAGAACGTCAATACATTTTCATTCAATATAACTGTAATAGGTAAACTTATTAAAATTTCTGTTATTTGTCATTCGATTTTTTTGATTAATTATGCATGGTTAACTAAAAGTGAGTAGACTGCAAGAATTATTCGTTCATAATTTTGTTGATCCAATTAATTAATGTAATTAATGTACTACGTAATTTTAAAAGACATTTTATTTCTGGAATTCAGAATTTACAAGACAATATAATAATGATTTTAAGCAATTTTATTTCTGGAATTCAGAATTTACAAGACAATATAATAATGATTTTAATTCATATAATAATTTGGCAAATTTCTTATATAAAAATGTCAATATTTAATACCGGTCTCTCTCCAATTAAAGACCCCTCTAATTAAAGACCACCTCTAATTAAAGACCAAATGAACAAATGTCTTTCAACTTTGTTATTCCACCTAGAGACCAAAACTGCTAAAGACCACAGAATCCCCGGTCCCAAAAGTGGTCTTTAATTGGAGGGAGACATGTATATATACACATAATTAATATCAAAGTCTATGTCAAATAAGTTTATTTTGCATCAACATATTCATTGAATTATATTAACTTCGTTTTTTTACAGATATGGAATATCCGGTATTCTACAACTTAACTCAAAATATAAGTGTTCTGACTGAGGAGCGTGTACATTATGCGCATGTCAGCTGGGATATTGTTGATGTATGGGACAATTCTGGTGAACCGCTAAATATTACGTCAGACTATCATCCCGGCGATATATTCTATGTCGGCGAAACATGGGTGACATATACAGCTATTGACAAATCAGGAAATATCGATATGTATTCTTTTAGTATTCTTGTCATAGGTGAATATACCAACTAATTATTTTGAACAATAAACAATTATTTAATATCTAGCTATCTTATATGAACTCAATTGATTCCTTTAGCCTATAAACAAGCCGCTACCGACTTCTGCTATTTAAACGTATTCCGTTTCACATTCTAATCTGACACTTAGTATATTTATAGTTGATATTTATATATTTATTCATTTATTAGATGAAACTATTAATAATTTAATCCACTCTCTGCTATAAAGCGCATAGAGGTATTTTACATTATGCGCTATATAAGTTGACAATTATTACAGTTTAAGATGGGCTTCGTCGCGAGATCAAGCCCACTGGGCTTCCATCCCTGGTTTTACGGCATCGTTATTATTCTAACGTTTGTATAACTGTCGTTATGTACCATGTGATAGAGAAGTTACAAGTCCTAAATTATATTTGATTCATTTCAGACAAAGAACTCCCAGAGGTTATATACTGCCCTCCCGATATAACCATTGAGACATGGTACCGGTCTCCTTATGTTAACGTAACATGGACGTCACCAAATATCACAGACAATGTTGGTGTTTTAGAAATCGTATCGAACTACCATTCAGGATATGTGTTCCACCTCGGAGTAACAACAGTTGTCTACAATGCAACAGACACAGCTTTTAACTTTAACCATTGCCATTTTAATATAACTGTTATAGGTAAAAATGTACCGGTAATTTTTGCTTATTGATATAGACATAAATATTGATCATTTTGTTAAAATGTCACTTTCCTAACAACTTTTAAACTTTGTGACGATCACACCTATGAATCTAGGACTCTGGCATCAGTATTTTTTCACAATAATTCATTATCATTATCAGTCAACATTAATGAACTGCGTTCATTATTTTCTTAACCATGACACAGATGTTGAGAAGCCCTACTTTGAAAATTGTTCCTTGGACATTGCGGTACCAAACATTCCCGGATCAGCATATTCTAATGTAACTTGGACAATACCGACAGCCTACGATAACTCTCAAATCCCTCCTCATGTTACCTCGGACGCTGATTCCGGTGATGTCTTTCCACTGTACGATACTATTGTAACATATACAGCAGTCGATGAAAGTAACAATGTCGAGTTGTGCCGTTTCAAAGTCACTGTAAAAG